AAAAAAAAATGAACCCTATCTTAGCAAAAACCGGGACACAAGGGAAGCGTGATGTAAAATTGGAGAGCTGGTTTTTTGTTTGGTTGTTTTTTCAGTCTGCTTACTTTCCCTCTACACTGGGTATTGGCTTGCAGCTGATGGGCAGGTGTATTTCATACATGGTACGTGTTGGTGAAGTTTGTTACAGCCAGTTAATGCACGTGTTGTAAGTTCACTTAAACTTTTTGTTGCTGATTCAGGAAGAAGCAAAACCATATGGTTACAGTGGGTAGTCCTGATCAATAACAAATTCTGTTACTGATCAGGACCACACAGAAATTAATTTTAAATCCTAATCTGGAGTTGAGAAGAAAGGGATCCCTGCTATACCTGTTTATTCCAGAGCTCAATTCTCCAAATACTTGGGGGTGGGGAGGAGAAATAGTGGGTCTTCTGTCTCCCTCCCAGTCCCCAAGCAAGTATTGCAATTCTTGCTGTCCTAAGTTTGAAATCTTGTTTTTTGGTGTCTCCAAAAGTATCAAAGGCTTCTGTTTCAAGGTGTATTTTACTAGTAGGTTTCAGATTTTTTTAGATACTTGGTCATTACTGTAGTAGTTAAGTGTGGTTATCTTGCTACCTGATGCTCAGCCAGCACAGGCCACTCTCACAGTAGGTACTCTTACTGTGCTAAGTACCTTGTATTCTGCTGACAGTTGGATTATCTTCAACTGCAATATTGAAAGCAACAAGACCATTAAATGAAAAGCCCAAGTAAAAGGTCACATTTTCATTTCCAGGGGGCACTGAATCACGATGGAGTGGCAAGATGGGAAACTCCTTCACGTGACCATGTATAAATAAATTTCTGTCCTTGGTCCAACCAGAAACACTTTCGAGAATGTCACGAATCCTGGCAATATTCCATACGGTTCCATGTAGCCACTTCATTCTCCTCTCATCTAAGGACCCACTAATTACTTTATCAATTTTAGTTTTGTGCACAATCTTACCTAAGCCGTAACCCTTTCCCAGGAAAAAGTGAGTGTAAATTCTTTTCTTTTTGGTAGGAACATCTTTCATCTTGATGTCGTATAAACGTTTCAGGGTTTGAAGGGCTGAGTTTAGAATTTCGTCTTTATCTGGATTAGGCTCTTTGTCTAATGCCTTATCTGGCCAGTACAGCAAGGTGAGCAAAAAATGGGCACTTGCTGGAAATGGTCTTTCTCCTTTAAAGAATCTTACACTGAGCTCACGAAGGGTTTGCACTGGAAGAAGTTTGGCAGATCCTGGTGCTAAGCATGCTAATGTGATGTGGCACAAAATGTAATTGATCAGATCGGTGTCCTCCAGCCTGTCCCTTAGTGGGTTTTCTGGATAGAAACTAAGGATCTTCTCGAGCTTTTCAGCTGACCTATTCTCTTTCTTATCTGTCAAGAATGACAGGATATTGGTGACACTACCTCCACCACTCTTATAAATATTCATGCGTCTAATTAGCTGGCTCTCGGGGCCACTGTTGCTGTCCTCAATACGTGATGCTGAGATGAAGAATTTGGCATATACCTCAGACTGTCTGTTTAGCCATTTTCTGGGGTTATAAATTTGTTCTTCCTTTTCATCTTTTTCATCTTCCTCTTTCTCGTGGTTTTTATCTGTTTGGAAATAACTTAGGTCTTCTGAAATCCATTCCAGAGCATTGTACAGGTTCTGGCGTAAGCCCTTTAAGCGGGAGTGAAGCCTTCCCCATGTTTTTTCAATGTCTTTAGGAATGTAATCCATGATCAGGTATTTCACAAGCTCAGAATATTCCCCCTGTGGACTTCTGTGAAATATGTGGACTGTGGACAAAAATCAAAGAAGACGACATCCTACTTCTACTTCTCCAAAATAGCCAGCATTGTTCATACTGTCACGTTCTGCTTTTGCAGCTGCTTGTGCAGCCCTGAAACATTTCATAGCTTTCAGAGCAATCTCTATCTTTTGAATGATGCTTTCAGGAGTGTCCTCCTGTGTCATTTTATCCACAGTGAAACTAAACCATTTCCTGTAGACTTGACCTTCTGTATCTAAAATATAAGAATCATTCGGCAAATAAAATTTTGCATCCCCTGCCCAATATTCTGCATCTTTAGATTTTTCATTGTTGTAATGCAGTCTGGCAAGCTGCTGGGCAAAAAAGGGATCCTTCCCAAGGAGTTCATACGCAGCTTTTAAAACATCTATAGCTTTTTCACAGTCCTCAGCTTTACAGACGTGTTCAATGAATGGGGAGAAAAGAGTGTCAGTATTATCACCCCTGCTTCTTTTGTCACGTCAAATAAACAGATCTCTGATGAACTTTATGAATTCCTCTCGTCCAAATCTGTTCTCAAAGAGCGTCTTTTCCTGAAGAAGTGTCATTGCAAGCTGACTTTGAGGTTCATTCCCTGAAAGCTGATGCAGAATTTCTATTGCAACCAGGCAGTGTATTATCTGTACAGATGAAATATAGGTGGTACTTTCCCTTAGCTCAATAAAAATCATTCTTGCTTGTTCACTCAAGTGACTTTTGAAATTGTATGCTCTTGATTTCCTCTCTGTATGTACTCCTAGTCCCAGAAAAGCCTCACAGTGTGACAGTGAAACAT